CCGTCACCCAACCGGGTTCGGCGTGTCATCGCCGATGTGTACGTCGGCCGCCCAACACGCCCGGCTCCAAAAGTCATGGTGGAAGTGCACCACCCTGCAGGCCGAGACGGTGTTCTGTGCACGCCCGACTCGGGTGCCGAGGCGACCGTGATGGGAACGGCAGCATCACGTTCTCTGGGCCTCAGCGACGCAGACCTTCACGCCGAGGCTACAGAAGGGTTCTCGGCCGTCGGTCACCACCGTCTAGCATGCAGAGGCTCATTTCGCGCCGATGTCACTCTCGGCTCTCGGCGAGTGAATGTCACCATATTCGTTATCGACAAACTGGACGGCATGCTTCTCAGCTGGTTTGACTCAGTAGCTCTGGGCCTGCTGCCGCCGGATTTTCCTGCACAAGTACAGTCCGTGACGTCTCCGACGCCGCCACCACCTCCCACACCCCCGCCTTGGCGCCGCCGCCGCCGTGGACGGGACGAGCGTCGGCCGGTCCGTCCCATCGCGGCGGCACCGCCTCTCGGCTCACCCGCCGTGCAGACGGGCGGCCGATCGACTGACCCGCCATCTGGTGCGTGCCCGCCATCTGGTGGCTGCACTGGTGTTGGTGCCGCCGCGACGGTGACTCCGCCGCCTGGCGGGCAGTCGGAACATTGTCGGTCGGTCACGCCTGCACCCGTCGCCGGTAGCGGCCTGCCGACATGGGAGGACGACGGGGACCCATCGGCGGCGACCATAGAGGAGCACCGCTCTGCCATCATTGCGAGTTTTCCGCGCGTGTTCGACGGCGATGACAAACTGCGAGCGATGGTCGGCGAGCCTATGCAGTTCGACTTGAAAACCGGCTACAAGCCGGTCGCCATCACAGCAGCCAGGCCAGTCCCCTATGCCTGGCGTGAGGAGGTCAAAGCTCAGCTGGATGATCTTCAAGCACGCGGTATCATCGAGCCGGTCGATTACGCCACTGAGTGGTGCCACGCAATGGTGTTGGTGCCGAAGCCGTCTGGCGGGGTCAGAGTGTGCGTGGATTTCACACCTCTCAACAGATACGTCGAAAGACCGGCGTACCCAACCAGGACCGCACAGAGCGTTGTCGCCGACATGCCTGCCGGGCAGCGCTGGTTCTCTACGCTCGACGCCAAGATGGGCTATTTTCAGGTGGAAATAGCTGAGCGTTGCCAGGATCTCACCTGCTTCATGACGCCGTGGGGAAGAATGAAGTTCCTCCGAGCTCCCATGGGCCTCACAGTTTCTGGAGACGAGTACCTGCGCCGTGGCGACCAGGCGCTGTGTGGTATCCCGGGCACAGCAAAAATCGTGGACGACATACTGACGTATGACAGCACGTATCGCCAGCATCTAACTCACGTCATCGACATCATCCGACGCTGCGATGAAAACCGGATCACACTGAACCCTGCGAAGTTCCGGTTCGCTCAGCAGGAGGTCGACTTCTGCGGGTACCGAGTGACTCCCGCGGGATACACGTCAGACGGCGAGAAACTCCGTGCCATCGCCGAGTTCCCACGGCCACAGAATATCACAGATCTGCGGTCCTTCCTGGGCCTAGCTACTCAGCTGGGACCTTTCTCATCCGACCTGGCCGATGCTGCTAGTCCACTTCGAGACCTGCTGAAGAAGGGCCGACTTTGGTGCTGGACGCCTGATCACGAGGCCGCCTTCCTAGACGTGAAGGGTGTGCTGTCAGCACCACCGGTTATGGCATACTTTGACCCGAGTCTGCCTACCGTGCTGCAAACTGATGCCTCCAGCACCCGTGGCATGGGCTTTGCGCTGCTGCAGCGTCACGGCGACGTGTGGCGCCTGGTTCACTGTGGCTCCCGATTCTTGACGGACGTGGAGACGCGTTACGCCGTCATCGAGATCGAGATGGCTGCATGTCTGTGGGCATGCAAGAAGTGCCACATGTATATAGCCGGCCTGCCTCAGTTCGACATTGTTGTCGATCACAGACCGCTCGTGTCCATCCTCAACTGCAAAAGGCTTGCAGACATCGAAAATCCGCGACTGCAGCGGATGCGTCTCAGGCTGACTTCATATTGCTTCATCGCGAGCTGGCAGCGGGGCGCCGATCACAAGATCCCAGATGCCCTGTCACGGGCGCCTGTCAGTGACCCGACAGCAGGGGACGAGGTGGCGGAGCCGGATCCGGATCCGCTGCATTCTGCGGTGATCGCCGCTCTCCAGGCCGAGAGCACCGCAGAAGATGGGACGCTGCTGGCGCCACTGATGGACCCGGCGCTGGAGAAGGTCAGGGCCGCCGCCTCACGTGACCCAGAGTATATGAAGCTGCGCGGCGTGGTAATGCACGGATTCCCGGACCACTGCCATGAGCTACCACCAGAGGTGCGTCCGTACTGGGGCGTGCGCAGCATGCTGGCCGTGGACGATGGACTGCTTGTGTACGGGTCGAGGCTCGTAATTCCGTCGGACATGCGGCGTGAGGTGCTGCGCCAGCTGCATGCGTCCCATCAGGGAATCGAAAGAACCCGTAGACGCGCGCGTCTCTGTGTTTACTGGCCTGGCATAGATAACGACGTCGCGAACATGGTGTCGTCCTGCAACGTGTGTCGCGCAATGCGACCCAGTCAGCCCCGAGAGCCGATGTGGCAGGAGGATCCGGCACCGGCACGAGTCTTCGAGTCAGTGTCTGCAGACTTCTTCCATGTCGCTGGCCGCACCTTCCTTGTGTGTGCTGATAGGCTGTCTGGATGGCCGTACGTCTCTGTGTGCCGCCGAACTGCGTCAGCTGACCAGCTGACTCGTGAACTCCGCCATCTCTTCTCTCTGATGGGAGTGCCTGCCGTACTGAGGAGCGATGGAGGACCACAGTTTGCCTCGTCAATATTACGCCGCTTCTTAGAGAAGTGGGAAGTGAACCACCAGATGTCGTCCCCTGGTCACCCTCAGTCCAATGGACACGCTGAGGCAGCCGTCAAGGCCGTCAAAAAGCTGGTGATCGCAGCGTCACTAAGAGGGACGCTCGACGAGGAGCAGTTAGATCGAGGTCTGTTGGAGATAAGAAATACACCTCGAGCCGACGGAAGATCTCCAAACCAGGTGCTGTTCGGCCATCCCGTCCGGACGCCGCTGCCGGTTCACCATCGTGCATTCGCACCGCAGTGGCAGCGAATGGCAGATGAGTGTGACGCACGAGCTGACAAGCTGCATCAGGAGGCCCGTCAGCGCCACGACAGGGATACCCGTCCCCTGTCACGACTGGGCATCGGCAGCAGGGTGGACGTGCAGGACCTGACAACCGGGCGGTGGGACCGCACCGGCATCGTGGTGGCCATCGGGGCCCGCCGATCGTACTCGGTAAAGATGCCGAGCGGGCGCCTGTATTGGCGGAACCGGCGTTTCCTGCGGCCGCACCGCCCGCTGGTCTCCGAGACGGCGGCGGACTGTGCCACACAGCGGCCATCGACTCGATCAGCTCGGTCGGAGCGCGACCAGCTGGCCGGTGGTGCCGTGGTGCCGCAGCCAGTCGGGCCCCGCCGCGCGGACACGGCCGTTCCTGCGCCGGCGCCGGCCCTGCGCCGCAGTACGCGACCCCGTGGTCCGCCTCGCCGGTTACAAGTACGGTGGGGAACCACAACATACGAGTAGGCTTTACAAGTACTGCGGGCGGAAAATGTGTTTGTTATTTGGTATCTCCAGTCAAGTTGTTTGCTTTGAGACGCTTCACTGCTGTTCTTTTGTTTGTTTGTCACGTCAGCGTCTGGAGGGAGGTGATGTGATGTGATAGACCCTCCCGTCAGAGCGGCTGGGTCCGCCCCTGCTACCAGGGTCGCGGGGCGCTGCCGGTGTCAGGGTCAGTTGGCTCGGCTGCGTGCCGGGGTGCGCACGCTCGTGTGTGTAGTGCCGTGTAGTGTCCCGATTCCGAATACACTCGACCGTAACTCAACAACATTCAAACATTCAGACATTCACACACATTCTAATGCATTAGCCCCTCTGAATCCAAGTGCTGCAACTTAAATAAGATATTTTCGATTTGAGGCATTTCTCGATCTTGTGAGTGCTCAACCCTGTAAGTGCAAGCCAGGGGCCCAATTTTGGCAATCTCAACTCAAAACTAAAGGTGGGATGGTCACTTTATGTAAAGGATATTTGCCAACAAAACGCCTTTTAGGGCGACAAACAGAGCAAGGGAGAGGGTGAGCCTTGCACGTGCGGAAGTGCGAGGGGGAACTTCTAACTGACTTGTGCACGGCACCCTACTAACCGGTCTCTAGCAATGTGCCAAATTTGAGCGCAATCGGCCAAGCCGTTCTCGAGATCTAGAAGCGGCACCCTGCACGTGCGCACGTGCCAACGGAGTTTTGTACGGCACCCTACCAATCGGTTCCTTGTGCACCAAATTTGAGCGCAATCGGTTCAGCCATTCTCGAGATCTGGAATCGGCCCTTGCACGTGCGCACGTGCAGAAGCACCCCAATTGTGGCACATTGAAATGCATTGCCTAATGGGTGCCTAGCTACAATTGCCAACGTTCAGCGCAATCGGCCCAGTAGTTGCCGAGATATTGCAATTGTTACAAAACTGACACCTCCTCGTTTTGCACGTGCATAAGGGGTCACCCACATGCATCAGGAATAGTCCAATACTTGGTAGAAGGAATGAAGCTACCCAACAAAAATTACCGCAAGTAAATCGGGCAAGTGGTTGCTGAGATATTTCGCAAAGGCGTCCGCACGGCCGGCCGGCCTCATACTCAGAAATTTACGTTCATCTACAAAAAAAAAAACTATACGCTCGCTTCGCTCGCTCCGTAATAAATTTCATATACAATTGTATGAACTTGTTCTACTCATACAACCTTGTGCAAAGAGGGCTAGAGTCGTACTCGTCGCGTGGCAATCACAGTTAAAGAATTAGTGTGTTACGAATCCTTTCAGTCTTTTCAAGAAGTAACGACGACTGTCTCGGAGCCTCGATGAATATGGGTCATGCGATGTCATGTGTTGTATATATTCACTGACCTGCTGTTCCGAGCCGAGGAGGGGGTACCGGTTGAGCAGCACCGTGAGCACCTGCTTCTTTGCCCCGATGAGTCGGTGCCGCCGGTCCGGTAGCGTTTGATGCATTGCCTTCGCCACCTGAGGATAACGCCGTTGTGAATACGATGCCGGGCGATCATTTCCAGGCCACCAACCGGGTGCTCCTGCCGCCTTCCTGTACCAATGAATGCCATGCGTTTTAACTCGCCTGTCATAGCGTTTTTTTTTTTGTTAAACTCCGACATGACTCAAAAATATTTATGGCACACAATCATTTTACTCGAGGGCAGCGCTTTTCGAGGAGCGCTGTGGCCCGAAGGTTTGGACTTTGAATTGTGAAAAACGCCCGCCCGCCGCAAAACGCAAACACCGCAAAACGCACGCCCGAAACGCCAACGCAAACGTCGCAGAAAATTAACAAACGCCCGCCCGCCACAAACCGCAATAAAAAAGCGCAAAAACGCCGCAAAACAATAAAACCGCCCGCATCGCACGCCCGCTAACCGCCAACCGAAAAGCCTAAAAATCGCCCGCCCGCCGCCAAAAGCAAACACCGCAAAAAACGAAAAAGCGGCCACCAACCGCAAACAAATTTAACACCGCAAACGCCGCAAAAAATAAAACCGCCCGCATCGCACGCCCGCTAACCGCCAACCGAAAACGCCTAAAAATCACCCGCCCGCCGCCAAAAGCAAACACCGCAAAAAACGAAAAAGCGGCCGCCAACCGCAAACAAATTTAACACCGCAAACGACGCAAAAAAGAAAACCGCCCGCATCGCCCGCCCGCCCGCCCGCCGCCAAAGACAAACACCGCAAAAAACACAAAACGCCCGCCCGCCGCAAAACGTAAACACCGCAAAACGTGCAAAACGCACGCCCGAAACGCCAACGCAAACGTCGAAAAAAAATCGCCCGACCGCCGCAAACCGCACAAAAAAAACGCCGAAACACCGAAAAAATAAAACCGCCCGCATCGCACCGACGCTAAATGCTAACCAAAAACGACTAAAAGTCGCCTGCCAGCCGCCAAACGCAAACACCGCAAATAAGCGCCCGGCCGCAGCAGCAAGATAATAATTTATCAACGACTTGCATACCGCTAGGAATCCAGAGATTCAACTTTTTGGTCATTTTCACAAATCAAAAGATATCTGCAAAAATCTCCTAGATGAAAGCGCCCAATTAAAAAACGGATGGCACGTGCGTGTTCCTCGCCCCCAACTTCCTTCAGGTCAATCGTCATTTGGGTCACCTAACGCATTGACGATCGGCTGGGTGGAATGAACATTGCGCCAAGAAACGTAAGCATATAGTCAAAAAGAATCCCCAGAATGGTGGATCCCAAAAGTTTGAAACTACCACTTTGACCCACTGGACGACACCTTAAACAGTTGCCGACCGGATGACACCCATTGTTTGGTCACCCACGCCATAGTATGCATCATGGGTGCGCCGAAATGACCAAAAGTCCAAATTTCCGTTGTGCAGGGTCATTTTCAACGGCACGTGGCACGTGGTTCTGGACTTTTCCGGCCACTTTGCGACACACCCATGGGTAGTGCACCGAATGGTGGTTGATTCGCATGGTAGAAAATGGGGGGTCGTTTGGATCGTTTTCGAGCAATCTGCCGTGGAACGCATTTTTTCATTTTCCCCATTGGCTTAACACGGGAATTTTCAAAGTCACGTGGCACGTGCACCAGATGGTCCGCGGAGGGGAGACCCATACCAGAACGTAGATCACCTGGCCCACTAGAAATCCTGAAAAAAATCAGATTTTTTGGAGCAGCCGTTTTCAAGAGCATCAAGTTGTACTGATCTCAGGCAGCTTTTGCCAAATTGTCAGGGAACTCAGATTTGTTTTTCAATAGAAAAACACAATTCTAAAGAATAGTGTTTTAACTATTGACAACAAACCTTCGGTTACATTTACATTTATATACTGTTACATTAATGTTTGTATCTAATGTATTCATTTAAAATCCATTTCATTAAAGTTATTAATATAGCCTATGAGACACATTGCATATCGCGTAGTTTTACTCTATACATATTACCTCGTCTTCGTCCATCGTTGTGCCCTCTTCCTTCATCTTCCTTACAAGAAACTCGACCTCCATGTGATTTTCTGTCTTCGCAGGCAGGTAGTTTTTCAGACAGGACTTCTTGCGCTTCTTTGTTTGAACCTCTTCCGAGGCGGAGCGCTTCCTGCTGTTCTTGAACTTGGTGGTCAAGCTTTCCTTCGCAAACCTCTGCGAACACACATACACTATATCAGCGAGGCAGCAAAAGCTTATGCTGATGATTTGGGTTAGCTACTGGGGTATACGACGGCAGGCGAGACTGTGCCATTTACAGAAAATCAGGTCAGTCTTGCTTGAACGATTAAGACAATCGGAGGAAGGCCAGTAAGCAATTGACTCAACACAGGAAAAAAAGATCGCAATGTTTCGTACAACAATTGCAATGTAGTTACATGGTTTTATAGGCATATTAACTACTACTTTCGAGGAACGGAGGGGATGAACAACAGGATCTCACCAAGCGCGAGGAGAGGTCGAGTCCATGTCCGAAGCCAGGAAATTGTTCGACAAAGTCGCCCACCAGATCGTCAATGTCCTTGAGGTACCTTGGGAGGAAGTGTCATGGTAAACCAGGATGATTGATCAAGAGCAAGTTGCTGATGCCCGTTGGTCATCGTATGAGGATTGAAGTGAATGAAGTGTACAGTCCACCGAAGAAACAATGAGTGGTTTCAGTCGTAGTTATCCTTTGCTTCTATTTCTTAGGAACGATTTGTCAGGCTACAATGAAACTTCGAATATAGCCTACAGACGTCATCCATGCAGCTACAAGTTTATCTTTTGCTGTCTACGTCTATATTACTCCATACTTAAAAAATGTCAGTCAAAACAATTTGTGGAGATTGATAAAACCGCATATTACTTAAGCGGTGGGCTGTACATGCATTATGTTGTACTATTGCTTCTAAATCCGCAGCTCGCTCTATGACCACGTTTCCATGGGCATCACTGATCCGGATCAGTGAAAATGGATTAGCCAATCCAGTATAGTTAGACACTTTATGAGAATCAAAATAAGGGATTAACTGTTTGTATAAACCTAATCCACTTTGAATTAATTCCTGTAAAGAAGAATTTAAAAAATATACACGATTTAAATTCACTAATCCGGATCAGTGATGCCCATGGAAACGGGGTATATATCTGTACTGAATACCCTCCCGTATCGCCGAGGTAGCTATCTTTTTTTCAATTTATTAACGGCACGAACATTAATTGACATTCTTAACATTGTTAACAGGCTTACAAACTGATGTTACACCCCAAAGTATCAATTACATGGCGCTCCGAGCCTTCCAACACGCCAGACCAGCGGCAAAGGCGCTGTCGGCTGGCCCTAAACAGACCCCTCGGCGCTATGTCCACCCACGCACCCGTCATCCCCTCCCCATCGCGGCACCCACCCACCGGACATCGCCAGGTCCCCCCCCCCCCTCCTTCACCGGTACCAACCACTGGACACATACGACCGGTGACCCAACGCTCGGCTAGACATCGGGCTGGGCAGGGAACAACAGCAATCAGCCACATATCACACTGTCACACCACATATCACACTTATTTTGTAAATTCGCCCATCAACGACCTGCGGCTTATGCCCGTAACCGCACAAAAACGCACCCTCCTTCTCGACAGGCTCGGCCGCCGCCGGCGCTCAGCACCGGGGCCGGTGGCGGAGGATAGGCCACCAGTTCTTAAATCACGCTCAAAGACAGCGAACTACGAACGAAAAAAAAAACAAGGCCGGGCCGGCGACGCGGGCGACAGCGCCAAAGAGGGCGCCGCCACGGGAGGCCGGGGCAGCCAATCCACCGGGCGACGGCTGCGACGCCGCGCCGACCGTCGGACCCCGCCAACGACCCCAAGCGGGCGGGAAATCGCCCCCGCACAGGTTATGAAGGATTTGGATAGGAATCAGGGTAGAAGCTGTGCTTAACCCGCGCCCCGTAGGGGGGGGGGGGCCGAAACGGCCCCCCCTGTCCTTTTCGGTCGATATCTCCTAAATGGCTGGAGATATCGCCACCAAACTTTCAGGACCCCTCCGGGCATCAATTTTACACATTGTGACCAAAAATTTTTCCAGAGGCTATGATAGGTTGGCCACAAATGACGTCAGAGTGACGTCATGTTCTGTCATTTTCGACCGAAAAAAGACCTTCGCGAGAAGACCTGTCAGGACTACAGCTTTGAAGATACAGAAAAATGATCAAGACATAAAAGGTGTAGAATTGACAGGGCTACAAAACTGCTATCTCGAATTTTTGAAATTTCTGAGTTTTGACCCCCAAAAATCAAAAAAGCATTTTTTGGATATATTCGCCAAAAAATCCAAAAAGTTTTTTGAGTTTCGAAAAAACCGGAATATATGTGATAGTGCCCACCGTCTTCTATCTACATACCAAATTTCAGATCGATACCTCGTTTTTTGGCCAAGTTATAGCGAAAAAACTGTTCAAAAATGATGACGTCAAATTTTCAAACTCAATTTTTGGCAATTCTAGAACTCGTAGAGCAAAACGAAGACCACCATTAGACTCCCCGTGACGAGCTGCATCGAATCGATACCCATTTTATGCAAAAATATCAACTTTGAAATTTGACCTAATTTGACCTGACCTTGACCTGACCTTCACAAAAACGTGACCTAGGCTGGCCCCAAAGACTGCCTAACCCACATAATCGCATTTGTCATGTAAAATGGACCATAAAACATGTATCACACGACACATTCATATTGTGACCCCGGTGACCTGACCTCGCTGTGACCTGACCTGGTATCAGTGACCTCAGATAGCAAAGTATGTGTTTGACAAACAATGTACCATCGATGGTTTTCAATAAATTACCAATTTACTCGCTTTCACAGCACATTTCTTGAATTGCCTGTGAACGGTGAAAATCTGACCTTTGACCTGACCTGTGACGTCATCGGTTTGACCTAGGTCAATGAAATTGGGTCACAAGGTAGTTCCCGGGTGGGGCTATCGAACGCCGTTTGAATTTTGAAAATCGGCCGGTAACTTTCCGAGATCTTAGGGGGGGGCCGATACGGCCCCCCCCCCCCCTACGGGTGGTAGGGTCCGCCGGTAGCCCTACGGGGCGCGGGTTAAAGCGAAAGCGAAGTTAGGGCCCTGCATCCGAAATGATTTTTGAAACTGTTTTCCATTTTAACTCAAACTTATTACATGATTTCTGCCTCACAGCGCTTCTATACTCCTTTTCAGCCTCTATTTTCAATATTGCATGAAATTGCTCTTTACTTGGAGTATGTTTTTTATACCTTGCAACGAATATTGCACGTTTAGCGAGTGTGAAGATTAATATCTTAAGTTGATCTTCTTCTGTTAGTCTTGGAAAGATCCACGACTGTGCTGTAATGTTAATAATTAAGTTGTACTCATTTTTAATATACCTTGTTATTTCTTTTACAAAGTTTTGCACTATCGCACATTCCCAAAGAATGTGATATAATGTCTCACTCTCCGTTTTACAGAAGGTACATAATGGGCTATCGGTCTTTCCAATACGAAATAAAAATGTATTTGTGGATATGATCCTATTAATAATACGATAATGGAAAGCTTGTAAAGAAGTGTTGCTAGTTGATTGTCGGACGTCGTGCAATGTGCCTTCATGCATAAAACCAACGTCTCTGTGCCATTTACGTTCAATATGTGTATGATTCGTCCGACTTGTTTCTTGTTTACGCTTTGCTGCGACAAATTCCGTATATGCCAAACGTGATGTATTTATTTTTCTCGAAAGTAATGCTATTTTATAAGGCAATATAGGGTGAAAGGTTTTGCACGCAGCAATATTGCCATATGTAGCTTGTGTTATACTGTGTGTTATGCTCCTTATCAATGATGCGTGGCACAAGAAAGACATTTGTATGTTAAATGATTTGTTTAAAGTATCTTTGTCTAATAAAGTCCCACTGTTATTGCAATATAAATCCGCAATAAACCTCAATCCACTTTCGTTCCATTTTTTCACAATGCTCGTTACGAGCGAGCGAGCGCAGCGAGCGAAGCGAAGTCTTTTCAATATAACGGAAAAATCTCAGTATGAGCGGCCCGGCCCGGCCCGGCCCGGCCCGGCCCGGCCCGGCCCGGCCCGGCCCGGCCTGTAACGCTTTTGAGAGGCTTATATCTCAGCAACCGCTGGACCGAATGGCCTGCGGTCTTTTTTGCTGGGTAGCCCCATCCCTTCTACCCCGTAATTGACTACTTTTGATACATCTCAGTGACCGCCGTGGCACGTGCCACGTGAAAAGTCAAGGGTGTTCAAGCAGTTTTGCAAAAGTAATGATTTTGAGAGGCTCATATCTCAGCAGCGGCTTGAACGATTGTCTTGCGGTCATTTTTATAGGGTAGCTGCATCCCTTCTACCAAAGGTCGGATACTCTTCATCTATGTGAGTGACCCCCACTGCACGTGCAAAATACAACAATAAGAGGTGCCAAATTTGTTCCCATTTCAGTAACTCGGTAATTACTGGGGCGATTTCGCTGAAACTTGGCATACAGGTAGGCACCCACCAGGCAATGCATTCCCATGTGTTGCGGTTAGGGTGCTACTGCACGTGCGCACGTGCAGGGGGCGTTTCCAGATCTCGAGAACGGCTGGGCCGATTGAGCTCAAATTTGGTACACGGTTGGGGACCGGCTAGTAGGGTGCCGTGCAAAAGTCATTTTGGACCCCGTTTGCACGTGCGCACGTGCAGAATGACGCTTCCAGATCTCAGGAACGGCTGGGCCGATTGCGTTCAAATTTGGCACACCGCTAGCGACCGGTTAGAAGGGTGCTTTGCGCAAGCCCGTTGGAAGTACCCTCTCGCCCTTCCGCACGTGCAGCCTGCAGGGCTCACTATCTCGCTCGCTCGTTCTTCGCCCAAAAGGCGTTTTACTGGTTTTAAATTTGGTGTTGTCCGAGAACCATATGATGTCTGTTAATATGTGTTCTGGCTCTGTACGAAAATCTTGGCACAAATCTGCCCAAGCATTCAACACATCGCACCAAAATGTATTTTGCACTTTACTTTTCGCTATACTTCTCAGTTTGGCTGATCCGTAGCATACCAATTCAGATATGTGTGGTAATGTATCTTTAATATTATTTGCCCATGGTACGTTTGAGTCTGACCAGTACAATCTTTTTACCCAGCTTATTTTTAAACTTTTAATAAACGACGTGATCTCAATCATTTTCAAACCTCCTAGGCTATAATTTTGCACCAACTTTTTCCTCTTTATTTTATCTGGGCCACAATTCCAAATAAATTTGAAAATCATATTGTTAATCATCTGTATATCGCTTTTACTTGGATTTGGTAATGAAGATAAAATATGCACGAACTTGGAGATTATCATTGACTTTATTACTGTTACCTTTCCAATGAGTGTTAGGTGTCGTCGACTCCATTGCGCTATTTCCTGTTTTACCTTAGGTAGCGCTTGCATGAGGTTTTGATTTACTATATTTGCATTTGAGTTACTATATATTATCCCTAAAACCTAAATCTTGAAAACAATATCAAACGAAAA